TGTGGTGTGTGTGTAAGGTGTGTGTGTGTGAGGTGTGTGTGATACCTCACCACTTTTGAGATGGCAGAAGGCCACTCCTAGTCAGTGCCCTGACTTTAGACTTCTAGAATCCCGAACTGTGAGAACACAAATTTGCTTGTTAAAGCCACTCACTTGTGGCTTCTCTGTGACACAAACACTAAGAAAGAAGGGCGTGCTCTTTAGGCAAAAGAAAAATGATCACAGATGGAAGATCAAAGTTACAGGAAAAAACAAAGCAACAGAAAGGGTAAATATAAGAATGAGTCTCAGTGAATATCGAACTGTGTAAGACAATACCATCAATGTGTTAACTTTAAGAAACAATAGAACAAAGGATGAAAAGAGGGTTGAATGGAGCTGAAGCGTTCTGAGGGCTGTGCCGGGAAAGAGAAAATGTACAAATTTACAATGAACATTAACATGTTCAGTCTGTATGCTTTATTTCCCAGTATAACCACCAAATAATAAAAAGTCTATAACTACCAAGCTAATAGAAAGGTAGGATAAAAATATTTAATTAATATGGAGAAAAATAAGACACTAATGAAAAAGGATAGTTTAGCCAAATAAAATTTTAAAAACACTAGTAAAATGATGTATTCAAAATCCAATTTATCAGTAATTACATTAAATATAAATGGACAAAATATTTTCATTAAAATAGAGATTATTAGACTGGATAAAGAAGAAAATAGAGACATATTACTTATAAAAGGCATATCTAAAGAAAGTTTAAAAGAGAAGAAAGCTGATTCTTGCCATTCATAGCAGTTATGTTTTGTGAAGTGGCCTCAACAGTGGGCTAATGACTCCTGCTTCCCTTGGGGAATTACAGTGCTGGGTTCTTGGGAGCCTCTGGTCACATTTTCATCACCTGGTCTTTATATTATTTTATCTTACGTGTGTTTCTGTCTCAAGATACCCTTACTGGATATATATGCTTGATTATTTAACATTGATCTGATGGTCAGCAGTGATGACTGTGTAGGCCTACGTAGAATGCCATTTGGGCACAGTCCTTCCTGCTGACGCTCAACCTTCACGAGCAGGATTCACAGTACTTTAACAGATTGCTAATGGCCTCTCAATGAGCCCGCGTGGTGCTGTGGGTAGGCACTGGGCTACTAATGCACAGTCAGTGGTTCAAACCTACCAGGCATGCCTCAGAAGAAAGATGAGGCTACTTGTTCCCATCACCTTAGGGAAGGGTCACGCGGAGGAGACGAGCCAGTCAGGGTGCAGTGTAGCAACGATGAAACATACAACTTTCCTCTAGTTCCTAAATGCTTCCTCCCCCCACTATCATTATTCCAATTCTACCTTACAAAGCTGACTAGACAAGAGGATGGACACTGGTACAGATAGGAACTGGGAATGCAGGGAATCCAGGGCGGATGGTCCCTTCAGGACCAGAGGTGAGAGTGGCGATACTGGGAGGGTGGCGGGAGGCTGGGGTAGAAAGGGGGAACCGATTACAAGGATCTACATATAACCTCCTCCCAGGAGGACAGACAACAGAAAAGTCAGTAAAGGGAGACATCGGACAGTGTAAGATATGACAAAATAATAATTTATAAATTATCAAGGGTTCATGAGGGAGGGAAAATGAGGAGCTGATGCTAGGGGCTTACGTGGAGAGCAAATGTTTTGAGAATGATGAGGGCAATGAATGTACAAATGTGCTTTACACAGTTGATGCATGTATGGATTGTGATAAGAGTTGTATGAGCCCCTGATAAAATGATTTTTTTTTAAAAAGATTACAGCCTCAGAAACCCTATAAATTGGAACCGGCTGGGTGATAGCGGGTCTGTCTCTTTGCTTGTTTTGGTTTAATGAGGCCTCACAACTTCGGGTGGTAACTGTTGGACTCTGTTACTTTTATACTGCTTCCAACCCCATGACTGAATTCCTCTGTTAAGTGGCTTTGCCCTGTACGTGTGCAGGTCAAACCACGGCCAAGGACTTGCTGGGTGCCCCCAACAAACCAGCCTCGTTTACAAATTAGTATGAAAAAAGCATCCTAATAGTGGCCAAGAGACTTAAAAGTAAATCCAGGTAACATATGAAAAGATATTATGGAAAAACTACATTGGTACACAGCTGCATAGCCTTCACCTGGTCAAAAATTAAAATGACTCACATCACATGTCTTAGTAATTGTGTGGAAAATGGGAAGTCCTCGTGTATTGTTGATGGCATTGTGTATTGGTACCATTTTATAAAAGTTCAGCATACGCTGTCACCAGCAACTGCAATCCTAGGCAGACATTCCACAGACATGTGTGCAAACATGCACCAGGAGAAACAACAAAAATACTCACACAGCATTGTTTGCGATGCTGAAGACTGGAAATGATCCAAGGTTCATCAAAAGCATATGGGATTATTAAATATTCATATGAGAGAATACCACACAAGTGCATTGCTTCCATTAGCTCTATTTTACCCTTTTTTACCCTTCTATCTGGGAATAAAGAGGAGGAATGAACTGCAGGAAGCAATAAAGGTTACTTCTTTAAAAATGACCTAATCCTGTACTGAGTCTACAGAATAAATGAAAAATCAGATGTAGGAATGGACATATATTTGATGATGAGATTTTGATCTACTTTATTAAGCATGAAGCAAGGATAAAAGGTGAATTCAACACACTAAGATTGGCTCTTCATTTTTTATCTTGTTTAGCAGCAGCATCAATAACACCCAAGAAATATAAAATTCAAGGCTCTTATCAAAATCAAGGTGGAAAAAAAAAAGTCAATAGTTTTTACTAGATAGAGATTTCATAAGGATCTAGCTTTTTCAATAATACATAACCTATGCTTTGATTTGGTTTAATGAGGCCTCACCAAGCTAAAACTAATATTTACATTTTAAATGAACTAAAATACCCAGAACATATAAAGAAGTAAAATACTTACTTGGCTCACATGCACTGGTGTTAAAATTAAATCCAGAACTCCAGACCAGCCGGCAAATACACCAAGTGGTATGGCATAAGCTAAAGCAATCATCAAAAATCTCAAGTTGCTGTGCAAGAGAAATGAAAGAAAATATTATTATAAATTAACACACCTGAAGTTAAACTCTTACTCATGAAAAATGTATTGGCATATTTACTTTTTTAATACAAATTCATCATATTGTTTAAAATTCATCAGTGCTCATGTTTTAGATAGACGACGACCAGTGTTGCCTCATAGAAATAAGCAGGTTGTTCAGTGAAAGGGGAGGCAAACCTGCATGAGGGCCAGGGACTGCTTCTCCCAAGGAGCAAGGGGTAGCGGGGAAAGGCAAGGGCTAACAACAAAGGGTTAACGTGATAGTTTTATCACTTTCTTTTCTTGAAACAATGCCATAGTTGTCTTTACTTTTTTTAAATTTTATCACTTTCAGACAGTAACTCAGATTTTGTTTTTTATTATTTCTCCAGTTTTGATTAATACAATTTCCAACAAACTTTAACTCTCCCTGCCACCAGTCGATTCTGTCTCACAGTGACCCTCTAGGGCAGAGGAGACGTGTTCTGATGTTCCCGAGACTGTAAATATTCACAGGAATAGGCAGTTCCTATTTCCCGCTAAAACTGCTCACCTTGTGGTTGGTTGGCAGCCCAAACCCTAACCCACTCTGCCACCCGGGCTCCCTAAAATGTCCAGTAGAGAATGTCATTTAAATAACTCAGATTTAGACAAGGGTCCGGGGGCAAGCACCTTCGTGACCCAGTTCCCTGCCCTACAATGACGAACGTGACCAATCTCCTGGGTAACTGCTCTCGTATAGTTCAGAAAGGCACAATCCCCTCCTACTTCTTTAGACATAGCACAATGATTGCTGAAGTTATTATCAGGTATTTTGTTATTGCTTCTATTGTAAATAGAAAATTTTTGGTCCATTAATTTTATATAGGAAGGCTATTGTTTTCTGAACGTTAATTTTGAACTCAGTCCCCTCAATCTCTTCTTGTTCCTAAGAAAACAGCAACCTTTGACATGAGAACTGACTTACTATGGGGATGGCTTAATTGATAAGACAATGATATTCCCAAATACTATCAGTAAAGATGAAATCTAAATATTAATATAACTTATGTCAGTGCAAAAAGATCTGTTCAGAAACATCTTCATAGTTTGAGACTGTGGCTCTGGAATTAATCCGTCACTGTTGGTCAGTTTTCAGCCACACAACGCACAGGTCTGTATCTGTGCACACACCTTAGTACAATCCACCATCTGAGATCGGGGGCTGCATGTGCCCAAGGGCTACGTTCAGAAGGGTGGGCGCGAAGGAGCGGAGGTGGGAAACGCAGGAAGGAGGTGGGCTGCGTGCATTGGGGATGATGAAGCAACATGGATCTGAATTGGTGAATAGAATCGTGTGCACCACCTCATTTCATTTCCCAGAAACTGCTAGCAATTACAATGGTCTATCATTCATTTAATTCTCTGAAAGCAAGAAACCTGACTCTAGTTTTAGAACCTTTGAAAAATTACTCAAGAAAAGGGAAATTTGAGGTTTAATTTATCTCTGTTAGTTCAAGATTTAAATCTCTAACAGTGGTTCTCAACCTGTGGGTCGTGACCCCATTGGGGGTCTAACGACCCTTTCACAGGGGTGGCCCAATTCATAACAGTAGCAAAATTAGCAACAAAAATCATTTTATGGTTGGGGGGTCACCACCACATGAGGAACTGTGTGAAAGGGTCGCGGCCTGAGGAAGGCTGAGAACCACCGCTGTCGATTATCTTTCAATATCCCCTTCTTTTCGGCTGCACTTCTTCAAGACTTGAGCCGCCAGACTTCCACTTCCAGCCATGACAGAGTCCCTGGTTCCCCAGTCGCCCTGGGCCTTTCTACTTCTCTGCCCAGACGCAACACAACATCACGCCTACACTACGTCAAGGTCATTAGCTAGTAATCAAACTGTCGACTAGAAGAAAAATCAACTGATGTTAGAGAAGGATAAAAGAAGCCAAGGTCTCTGTATGATATCATCCACAATACACGTTTAAAATGAAATAAAGACTAGATATGCTACGGTGGGCAGAATTCTAAAGATGCTTTCTAAAGGTTCCTGTCTCCCGGTTATCCAGTCACACACTAATCGGGCCTCTGGGGGCTCTGCCGGCGTCATTAAGGTTAATCATTTGATCCCCCAGCCTTTTTTGGAGAGGGGGAGTTTGGATGACAGGAATTCACAGAGCACATTAGTCTCCTATTCAGCAAATGACATCCGTTCGTCCTTTGACTTAGTTGTAATGCCCTCAATGGAATGGCACTCTGGCCACTTCCTCCCTGCCTTCCCTGTGTCCACTGGCCCTTGGCGCCTTTGGGTCATCTCTGGCCCTTTGCTGCCTTCTCATTGATTGCTCTGAGAAGCACGTTCCTCCTGGGTACTGTCGCTCACGTTGCGTGGTTGTGAGGTGACACGGTGTTGCAACCCATAGCAACCGTCTGTACAGGAGAGCAACACTGCCAGTCCCATCCCTGTCCCCATGCCTCCCCTCCCTGTCCCCATACACTGTGCCAACCCAGCTTGTCAGGGCCTTCTTCTTTGTCCCCCCCCTTCTGCTTTACCCAGCAGGGTGCCCCCCTCCAGACACTGGTCTCTGCTGATACAGGTCCAAGGAGAGACAGGCCTGTCTGCTCTTCACCTGAGAAGTCTTCCTAGTGCCCATCTGGCGCTTGGACATGGATCAAGAGGCAGTTGTGCACACAGAACAAGGGGTGCTGCACAGTTTAAAATCGGGAAGGTGTGCGTCAGAGTGGTGCCCTCCCATCACAACTGTTCAATCTATATGCTGAGCAAATCATCAGAGAAGGTGGATTATATGAAGAAGAGTGTGGCATCAGGACTGGAGGAAGGCTTATGAACAACCTGTGGTAGGCACCTGACACAACCTTGCTTGCTGAAAGTGAGGAGGGATTGACGCACTTGCTGCTGAAGATCAAGGAGTGTAGCATTTGGCATGGATTACAGCTTACTGCAAGAAGACCCAAATCCTCACAACTGGACCAGTAGGAGAAAAGGGTGACGTCGTCAAGGATTTTGTCTTACTTGGATCCACAACCAGTGCTCATGGACGCAGCAGGCAAGCGATCAAAAGACATACTGTATTAGGTAAATCTGCTGCGCCTCAGGAGTATTGAATGGCAAGGACGTTACTTCGAGGATGGAGGTGCACCTGACCCAACCCATGGTATTCTCCATTGCCTCACATGCACGTGGAAGTTGGACACTGAATAAGGAAGACCATAGAATAATCAATGCATTCAAGTTGTGGTGCTGGAGAAGAACATTGAAAGTACCATGGACTGCTAAAAGGACAATCCAATCTGTATCGGAAGAAGTAAGGCCAGCGTGTTCCTTAGAGGCGAGGACGGCAAGACTTCATCTTACGTACTTTGGACATACGGTCAGGAGATATCAGGCCCTGGAGAAGGACATCATGTTTGGTAAAGAGTGGGAGGGCCCTCGACGAGATGAGCCGACACAGCGGCTGCAACACTGGGCTCAGGCACAGGAGCAATGGTGAGGATGCGCAGGACCGGCAGTGTTCTCTTCTGCTGTGCACAGGGCCACTATGGGTCGGAGCTGACTCGACGGCCCCTAACAACAACAACACTATAAGTCTAGTCTTGTGATTTTGAATTTTGTTCTGGATTTTTCTCCCATTCTGCCCAGGATCTTCTGATGTGATCCCGAGCAGAACACTTAGTAGTAGCAGTTGCACACCGCCTGGTTCTTCAATCTCCGGTGAGTACAGGCTGTGCGTCTTTGAGACCAATTTTTTACTTAAGTCTTTAATTTTCTTCATTTCAATGGGCAGACACCGATGGTTACATCTAGGATGGCTGCTCTCAAACTTGTAAAGCCCCACTAGCTACTCAACAAGTAAGCTGAAGGACACTGTCTCCATGGACCATGCTAGCCAATGACCGAGGTCCCCCCAGCCCCGTGACTCAGGCTCTCAGGGAGTCTGGTTAAGGCCAACACGTCCTTTTGGCCCGTATAGGCTCTATTATATACATGAGTGTATTTGCAGCCCATACAAATAGATATGCAGACATATCCTCTGCCAACCCTGTTTATATACTAGTGGTTATATTCCCATATGTTCAGCTTGGACTTAATACCTAGGCATCCACTCATATTTGCCATAAATTGGTTGTTTTAAGAGAAGAGAATTATTAAGGAAGAAGGGAATCAGAGATGTGGCAGAGGGGAAGTTAGATTCAACACAGGAGAAGGCGTGATACTGCTGTCTTTGAAGGTAAAGGGGGTCATAAGCCAGGGATTATAGAGGGCTTCTAAAAACTGAAAACAACTCCTAGCCAATATCCAGCAAGGAAAGATCTTCATGGAACTGGATTCTCCTACTATCCCATGTCTTCCTAGAAGGAACAGATTCCTCCGTCTTTTCAGGTAAGAGCCCAGGCTGACTGACAACTTGATTTCAGTCTTGAGAAATTCAGAAGAAAGAACCCAAGTGAGCCTCCACTCAAGTACTCCCTCAACACAAGAATACTTTCTTCTATTAAATTGGCATTCTATGATGCTCACCTTCCCGACACAACCGCT